CGGCGAGTACTTCAGCACGCATAGCAGTCCTAGAATATCGTCCAAGCCACCCGCGCCGATGGGTGTTCCCGTGACGCACCACCTGGAGGTTGACGGTTGGGCGGTTGGGGGTTTGCAGGCGCGGACAAGGGGAAGGGAGGGGGGGATTCATGAGGCAAGAAAGCGAGGGAGGATTTTCAACTGCCGACTGACACCCAAAATACCAAACCCACTGTAAGAGGGTAGGGGGTAGGGGGGGTAGGGGGTAGGGGGGTAGGGGGGTAGGGGGGAGATTTACATGTCAAAGTATAAACCAGAAAGGGCAGCAGACCCGTACGTGGTGGTCGACTCCTCCTTGGGAAGCCACGTGCACCACCACGCGACAAACCCTCCACGACAATACAACGGAGATTAACATCCCCTCCCCCGCTCCTAACGCAGGAAAAGACAACCCTACTCGCACCCTTCCCCCCTCCCTTGTTCGACCTGTGTACGGCCTCTATCCTCGCCGCCATCTGCACCACGTGGGAGTACGAGCCCCCCACCATCTGAGCCTCGTCCATCACCAGTCGGTGCCACTGGATCTGTGGCAGTAGCAGTAGCAGCAGTAGCAGCAGCAGCAGCAGCAGCAGCCCAAGGGCAAGGCAGTAGCAGCACTGGGACGAGGAGAATGCGACAGTACAAAGCCATATCCCGTATCCCCTCTCATAATCCGGAGCCCTAGAGCCCCCCCCCCGCCCAGCCGCCCCCGGGGGACGGGCACCTGACACGGGCACAAACACAAGCCGAACACCGGATACACATTCTCAATCACCGATGCAGCATTCCAATACAAATGCTGCCCGTCCCGAAGCACCCGTCCCGCCCCCCGGTACTGTGCTGCCGCACATCCTCATCCTCCCCAATCTCCCGCAACCGCACCGCCACCCACCTGCAGTAACGGGCTCTCAGGTACCCCGTACTTCTTCTCATGTCGCAGTCCGGCTAGCAGGCGGTTGCTGGGGCTGTAGTGAACCTCCTCCTTGAGGACCTGGGGGTAGCGGGGTACGACGTTGTACGGCAGGGTACGACAGATTTGACCTGGGTTGTTGGGAGGTTGGATGGCACGCCCAAACAACAGACACGAAACACACAGAGCAGGGAAACGCGGGGTCCGACACGGGCTCACCGAGTACGTCGTCAATACCACGTCAGCCTGTAGCAGCTCCCGTACGGCAGCTGCCGCCTCCGCCGTCGGGTCGCAACTGGCCGGACAAAGTGCCGTACCCGCGTACAGCGCCGCCGTCAGCTCCCGATGGTATAGCTGCATGCGGCTTGGGGCCGCGGGGCCCGCTGCCGCCGCCGCGGCGGGGGCCCCGCCGCTGCAGCCGCCGCTGGCCCTTCCCCCCGAAGCGCCCGCTGTTGGATCCGCAGCGGCAGCGGCGGATCTGACAAACACTGTGGCCGTACGGTCATTTGCGGCGGGGATGCCGCCGCTGTCGGGATTGTCAACGCCCGCAGATGTACGTCCGCCGTACTTCCCGCGGGCAGCGCTGGCGTTATTTGTACGAATACCATCGTCATCATCGCCGTCACCATCACCGTCATCATCGCCGCCAGTGTCGTTCCCGTTCTGCATCGCCGCATACGAGCGCCGCCGCGGGGCACGATCCGAACGCCGTACGGCTGGCCCCGCCGCCACCGCCCCCGGGCCGCTCCCTACAGCCTGCGCGGCACTGCTTGGGCCCGCACCACTTCCACCAGCCCTGCCGTACGATGGTGCCGCCGCCGCCGCTGCGGAACTGCCGGCACCCGCCGCCGCCGCTGCCGCTGCTCTCTCCTCTTCCCCCAGCTCGTCTCCACTTCCCTCATCCTCATCGCCAACCTCATCAGCACTGCCCGCCGTAGCGTCCTCCGACTCCGTGCCGGAGTCCTCCTCCAGTCGCCGCCGCCGCCGCTGCCGTGGCGGCGGCTGGACCCCTGCAGCGTCCGACCTGGGCCGCCGCCGCCGCCGCTTCTGCTGCTGCCGCTGCGACGGTGACCCAGGAGCTGCCGTGGAGGACTCGCTCCTGCCGCGTTTGCGCTCTTGCCGGGCCCGCCGCACTGCTGTGCGCGCGGCCGCCCGCTCCGCCATTTGCCGTACACGTTCCTGACGTCGGGCCTCCTTCTGACGCTGCAGCTCCAGTCGCTGCTCTCTCTTGGCCTCCCTGGAGACATAATGATTGGTTTATACAGGATATACAGGAAGATGTATGATAGTTATTATACATGGAGGGAGAATGATTACATTAGGAAAAGGAGGAAGAAGAGTGTGAGTAAAATATAATCTAATAATAATAATAATAATAATAATAATAATAATAATAATAACAATATACTGGTATGATATTTTATTTTCAGAATAAGCCTGCGGGGATGGAGTCACACTGAGTCAGAGTGCGGGCGAGGAAACCGTTTTGGGTGCGGTACTAAACACAAACATACATACTAAACATACGCGGATTGGGTCCCGGCGGACGGGAAGATTGCCTGCTTAGGGTTTTTATGGGGTTTAGGGTTATAAATGGGTTTTAGGCTTCTTGACTCACTTGATCTGTTCTTTCTCCCTCTCCGCCGCCTGCTGACGATGCCACCTGAGGCCGTCATACACATACACCTGCCAAAGCGAGCGAAAAAACGGTTACGACGGAATGGACGAGCAAGTGCCTTAACCGATTGTTTCATTGCTCGTACAGCAATCAAATGCGGCAACCAAAAGCCGAAACCCTGGACGAGCAAATTAATCGACACATTGGTCGATCGAACGACGAGAAAGGATGGCGACAGCTCGATACGGTGGTGTGTGTATGTGTGTGTGTGTGTGCGCGTGTGTGTGTGTGTGTGTGTGTAAAGATTGATGATTTGCATCTGGCGCCTTGCTTCCAACGCGCGCCTGCCTCTCGCGCCCCATGACAATGGTAATAATAATGATGATGATGATGATGATGATGATGAGCTCCCTCCATTTGCCCCTCTCCAGGTCTCTGGGGCTCTTGGAGGAATTCCTCCATCCTGCTGCGGATTCCTGTCGCTTCTGACACCACGCATATTCACTGACTCCTAAGGCCTAAAACTCAAAAAACAACCCTCCAACCTCACCAACATAAACAACAAAAGCAGCACGCCTTTATCGCCCCACCACCATCACCACCATCACCACCACCACACCACCACCACCACCACCACCACACCACCATCACCACCACCACCACCATCACCACCAGCAACAACGAAATAACAATACGCTGCCATCACCTCCCGACCACCGCCACCGCACATACACACACACGCGGCGGCTTCAACTCCAGACGCCCCCCACCACCCACATCCGCTCCCCACTCCTAAAACGCAACATCGGCCAGAAAACCCCCCACCTTCAAGTTGCTGTGATTAGCAATCTCGTAAGACCACTGCTGTAAAATGGATGGTGGAGTGACGATCAGGTTTGGTCCCTGGGGCCGCCGATGACCACCTCCGCCTCCGCCTCCACCTCCACACGCGCTGCTGCCACCGTCGCCGCCGTACTCTCCGGAACCCGCAACGTCACCAACGCCTCCGCCGCTGCAACCACCATGCTCCCGCTGCTCCTGTGACTGCTTCCGTCGTTGTTCCTTTCCAGGGTGGTGGTGTTGACGGCGATGCTGATTTTCTACTTCCGATCGTGGCGGCAGTGGAAGAGGCGGCGGCGGCCTCGCCAGCATGAGCGCAATCACCTCGACTGTCTTCCCCAAACCCATCTCCTCCGCCAGGATACCCACACGCTGCCGCCGCGGCGGCGGCGGCGGCTGCCGCCGCAGCCCACCTCCCGGGTACGGATTCACCCAGAGCTCCTGGCCGCCGTCGCCGCCGCCGCGGACCTCCAGCCGCCGCCAGAACAAGTTCTGCGACGCGAAATCGCCTAGATGTACGGCTGCGGCTGCGGCCGCTGTGGCGGCGGCATCCGCAGCGAGGCCGTTTTCCTCCTGCTTCCGCTCAGGGTCCCGATCCTGCACGTCGCCGTCACCGTCGCCGCCGTCACCGTCGCCGCCTAGCTCCGGTTGTGTTTCCCTCCAGACCATCCACGAAAGAGCCCGCTGCTGGTACGGGAACAGCTTGCACTTGAGGCCTGAGGAGGCGGCGCCATCGCAGCGCGCCCGGGGAGCCCGGGGGGAGATACGGGGGGAGATACGGGGGGAGAGGGCTTAGCTGGAGAGGACAATCAATTTAGCTCGTCAGGTAGGGGGCCGTGGCTGGGGTGCCGTACTCCTTGCCGGTGAGCCATGATCAAGAGGAATTACAATAAGATTATTTCCGCGAGCTGTCGACAATCGTGACGCAGTCGTCAACCGCATCATGCGTGCTGGGCACACTTGCTACAGCGCTACGGGACCACAAATCGCATACATACATACATACATACGTACACGCATACATACATGCATACATACAGACACACTCACTCACTCACACTCACTCACCTAGAGGGTCCGGATGTGCCGTGTGCCAGTCGCGTGGCGCCACCATATCGAAGATCTCATCGCGCACATCGCTGTAGGTGTGATGAGGCTCCTCAGGGGGACTACCTCCGGCCCCGTCACCACCACCACCACCACCGGCAGCAGCAGCAGCAGCAGCAGCAGCCGAGCCTGCCGCAGCCCCACTCTGGCCAATCCGCCCATTCCGCCGCCGTACAGAAGGATCGGCGGCCTGGGCACTTGCCGCTGCTCTTCCGGTATCGACCCCTCCCTTACCCACGGGGCCACTGCTGGTGGTGCTGGTGTACGGGCCGCTGCGACCCGCCTCGTCCACATCCCCCAGACTGGCATTGGCGGCGGCGACCCTGCCGCCGCCCTCTGGAACGTCGTCCTCTGTAGACACCACCAGCACCAGTGGCAGCGGCAAAGACATCACCGACGTCATGTCAGTCAGCTGCTGAGCGCCCACCTCCTCCCACCACCTCCTCCCCCCACCTCCTCCCCGTCCCACCTCCTCCCACCACCTCCTCCTCTTACAACAACCTCCACTCTTAAGCCTCCCCACAACCAGGGGAATCCAAGCAACTGCAACCACTTTACTCCTCTCTTCATACGCCGCGGCCGCGGCCGCGGCTGATTAACCCACCTGCCTTCCCCTCCTCCTCCTCCTCCTTCTCCTCCTGTTCCGGCGCCGGCGCCGGCACCTGCAGAATCTCCACCACGTCCAGCAAGGCCCCCGCCACAGAGGCAGCCGCGGCCGCTGCAGCTGCACCACCGCCGCCCAGGAACGCCACGGCCCGCGACGTCGGCTCCGGAATAACCACATCAAAGGCAGCCGGCATCAGCCGTACGGCAGCGCGTACGGCCAAGATGCCCGGCTCGTCGGCTGGTGAGACGGATACCACCTAGCAGCGGATTGCACCACCGTAATGGGTACCCCGGGATGCAGAGGGAAAGAGCAAACAGAGAGGGAGCGGAAAATACATCGGAGTGTTAGGAAAAGCTAAGTATAAGGTCAGTGAAGATGAACTCATAGTCATGGTTTTGGGGTTGGGTTGGGTTAGGATGAAGTAAAGAGGTTGCGGATGTCTTTCCTGGATGCACGGCAGTACGGCAGCATTTTGCGTACCTGCAAGTCTGTTAGCTCGGCAGCGACGACAGTCATCAGCTGGCCTGCCGGGTTGGAGACGCCGTGGCGGTTTTGCGGCAGCTGCGCATCCCGATTGGTGAGCTGCCGGTCAACAATGGCCAGAACTTGTGCCAGAAGATTATCCTGATGCAAGGGGAGGCGGATGCAAAGCCCGCAAACCATTTGCAAGCCCGTCAAACGATGCCCCGGACCCCAGAAAGCGCATTGTGGAATAGAACTCTGCGGTCAGTGCCGTACAAGGCGGTGCGCGCCCACCTGGGGCCTTCGCAATAGCTGCAGGCAGGCCTTTTTCCCTTGACCTTTGATTTTCAGTTCCAGCTCCGCCACGGCCGGGTGCAGCCTACAGGCACAAAGGACCAACAGGTGACAGATTTGATGGGGAGAAATTTTAGCCAATAACAACGGCGTTTACTGAATATATAATTGTGATCAAATGTTTAGGCTTGCTTCAATGCACACCTGCCTAGCTCGCCCCTAGCAAGAAACACCACTTCGCCAAGCTCCATGGTGACGGGACCTAAGCACTTCACAAGCTGCTACCTTAATAAATTGGAAGCCACTTGTTGTAAGTTACTAGGATTTGACAAAAACGTGCGGAATTGCAAGCGTTCTGGCCCGCTAGCCACCTCCGTTGCGGGCTCGCTTTCCAAGGAAGTTGTGTCCTGCAGCATACTAGCGTGTTAAAGGATACGACAGAGCTGTCTAGTCTGGTCACAGAGAGTTCATTTTTTCGCACAGCACGCCAGGCTCAGCAGGCCTGTACGATGCCCTGCAAGTCGGTTGTCAGTTTTCTTACCTCGTCTAACAATCGTCCATTCGTTGTTAAGCTTGCATCAATAAAGTGCTCGCTTTGACTTTATAAATTCATCATTGGACATGTTTCCTTGGTGCTTTACCGTGAAGTCTTTTGCGCACGATTTGGGCAGTGCTCTGAAGCGTGCACAGAGCCTGGCGCTTGAGAAGGAGATTGGCCAAGGTAGCATTAGCAGGTTGTGAGGCAACGTTTCGGGCATAATCAGCCATTATCCGAAAGTCCGAAGAGCGGCAACAGGAAAATCGGCAACCTCTTTTCACCGAGCTGGCTGTAGACATTGGTTCACTCTGCAAACCGGGGTCACTTGAAAAACTGGCAGCCTCGCTTGGATAGGTCAACACCTCTGCTGTCCTCATGCCCATTGGCCCCGCCCCTAGGGTGTATGAGCTTACGTGCCCGGTCAGCCATGAACGCTTTGCTATTAAGAAGGTGCCACTGTCGAAGGTGCCCTACCAGCGCGCGGAAGTCCTGCAGGTAGTTCCCGCCGTATCATTTACCCATGGCCAGTCGTGTTGCACAAATTTGCCTTCACTGGTCCATGCTTTTTTCCTTCCATGACCATGACACCTTGCCACCCCATTGAACTTCAGATAGACGCAAAAAGTTGCATCATTGGCTTGACTGTGTAACAAGCCATAACAGTGCCGTACCACACTGGATGATCCACTGATCTCTTTTTTCCTCACGCACCGCACACATTCGCTCTCGCACACACAACGAAAAACATTTTGCCATGCATTTCGTCGTCAGAAATGATTCCCAGTGAAAGCCCCGTCCCGGTGGCCTCCATCACCCTCCCGCCGCCCGTCGGATTGCATACGATAGGGGGATGCAGCTTTACCCGTGCCCACAACCCGGCAATCCGTACCTTCCCCAATATTTCGGGGCGCCCTCATCCTTCTCACCCGCGTACGCCGACTTCTGCGGCGTACGTGGGGTGGTAGTGGTGGTGGTGGTAGTGGTAATGGTAATGGGTAGTGCTAAACCCCTACCCATTACCAGTACCACTACCCCCGGCATCCAGTGGAATCTGCCCCCTAATCAACGGCGGCGTCAACTCCTGGTCGGCTCGCGCATCACAATGGCCGGGCCATTCACCTAAAAATGACATGGGGGCACATTCACCCGCTTATGGTCGCGAGCTTTTTTATACCGCACACTATCTATCGCGATCGACCCTGGAACGCCTAGGGGCATCATCATGCTATGTGTTAACTGCAGGGAGTCCGAACATGTATTTGGCTTGAATGCTAATCAGCAAGGTACCTTGACATGTTTTGTATGTCCTTTTCCCACTTCATGCGCCGCCAGCGAGTTGCTCAGGAGGCCCATGCGGCACGGGCAATATCACAACTTGCAAACCACCCCGACGAGCTCGTACGACACTTTGCTTGTGTGTATGACGACCGTGATGACGCGGCTCTCTTGATAATGGAGGTGCGAATGTGCCGTGGTGCAGGTGGTGACGTCCGTGCATCCGTCTGGCTGTCCGTCTGTCCAACTATCCGTCTGGCTGTCTATCCGTCTGTCTGTCCCCTGGTGTCCGTGCACTGTTTGCTTATGGCGGTCCCGTTTGAGCAGCATGGGGTTCGTTCACCGACCGTACATTTCCCTCACCTTCCCCCGCGCCACCTCTCCTCAACGCGAACCTCTATATCCTCTCTCACTGTCTGTAGCTCATTTCACGCGCACGTTCCCCTAAGACATGGCTGCCATGGGTACACACACATTCACGCATGCATGCAGTTGTGCCGAGGCCCCTCCCTGGCGCAGCTCCGGAGGCAAAGCAGCTCCGGAACCCTCCCGGAGGCGAGTGAGGCACTTGGAGGTCTTGGACGCGTTCGGATTGGGCTGGAGGGGATGTGGGGGGTTCCGGGTGGGGGGGTTTGCAGCTGCCATGGGGGTTGGGCGCATACAAACATACGTACATAGGTATGTACATGCTTACATGGGATGGAGGCCTGTGATGGAGATGAGCGTGTGTGTGTATGGGAATGGCCCACTCGCATGGGATATTAGTAGTACATGTATGTATGTTTGGGAGGTACAGGGCTCTCTCATTGCTTTGAGAATCTTTGGCTCTAATTTAGCGGCCTTATAAAACATCTTTTATACATTCATGTCACACAGGTTCGAGTCCTCCGCATGACTGCTCATGTGGCGAGAGCGCTGGGCCACTTGCACTCCCTCGGACTGCTGTGTGTAGATCTGAAGGTACGACATGGTGCGGTTGTACGGAGTCGTTGATGTGTTTATGAGTCGCTGTACAAGCCAAAATGCACGTGGAAGGAGAATTAAGATACAAACGCATCAAAAGCTCCAATTTTAGTGGTTGGCTCCGAGACCAAACCGCCAAGGAAACCTACGTGGTGTTATTTGTACGGTGCGGATGCCTATCGACGTTGCTTCAGAAGATGTTGCAGCTTGCTGCATCTCTGGGTGCGTATGGTTCTGCATTTGTCCTTTCTTTATGTTGCATGTGTTTAACCTGTGTTTGGGAGCCTTCGCCGTCCAGTTTCTCTGTACGGAAGAATGTCCCGTACGATCGATATGGTACGTTGTGTATCGTTTGGGGGTATGGCGGGAATTTTGCTCAGCTGGCACATCAACTTGTTTTTTTGTTTGTCCCACTTTCTTAACATCCCTTTTGCCATTTCGCCGTTCCATCTTCCTGATGGCAGACTGAGAACGTCGTCTTGGATCCCACAGACCAGGTACGCACAGCAAACTAAGAGCACTTGTACGGCGCTGTCGTACTTACAGTTCCTGGAGCACGGCGCCGCAGTTTTCCTCGTGTGCTAATATATGTAGTTCTATTTATGTATCTGTTGTAATTTTATGTTATTTTTATTGCATTTTACTGTATTTTACTGTATTTTACTGCATGTATATCTGTATATAGATCTAGCCCCTAGTCGATGGACAGTGGTGACCTGGGATAAAGTGATCTTGCGAGCTGACCAGGAATGGACTTGAGCCGCCGTTGATCTGGCAGATACCGTTGGATGCTGGTGGTGGGTGCGGAACCTGAGCGATCCACTGAGAAGTTGACTAGGGTGACTAGATGAGGGTGCCCCGAAATACCGGGGAAGGCAGGGTTTCGCAGGGTAGCTGCCACGGGTGAAGATATGCCCCCCTGTCCCACACATCTGGGATCTGGATGTAGCTCTCTACTTCCAAGGCTATGAAATATGCTCTTAATAATGAAACGGCATTAAGGAGATTCCTAGATAACAAAGGATGTTTTTGGTGCTTAGGGTTTTGATTGCCGATTATTGCGCGGCTGGCTGGCCGATGCAACGGCTGGCTCACGCGAACGATATAGAGGAAGAACTACTTATCCGCCTGACATCACATATTACATGATATATTAATGGCAGACCAGGCGATGACGATAAAACACGTGCTGCCAATCGGCCTGTGTACAGGATCCAGATCGTGTACGACTGCTGGATTTTGATCTTTGCCGCCACCGTCTGGGATGTGACCGGTCCGGTGCTGCTGCTGCTGCTGCTGCGGCTTCGGCGGCAGACACCACCACAACCACCGTAGCGACCACCGTAGCGACCACCCCGACCATTACAACCACCGCCACAACCGCCAGTAAAACCTCAGTCGACCAAGGGCTGCGCAGTATTGTGACTGTTGGTGGTTCCCCGCCGAGAAACGCGCTTGGCTTCCAGGATCGCGATTGTAAATGTCTTGAAAATGAGGTCGATGGTGGCCGCGGTTATGATGATTGCGACAGCAGTGATTGCCGCATCTGGGGAACCTCGGAATACCTGGCTTACGAGGTCCTCCAGGCAAGTGGATGTTGCATCGCGCATCAACATTTGATAAACCAGCCACAGACGTCCCATCGCTTTTTATTGCGCGCTCGTCCGTCATTTCGTTATTTTTCTTAATTTTTACAGTCAGCTGAATTTCTTGTCGTAGTTCCGTAGATAGCTGAAATGAGTGATCCCTTACTGCGCACGCACGCACTTGGTGTTTAGCGCACCGGTGGGTTTGGAAGGTGGGTGAAACCGGTAACGGCCAAGCATGAGCGGAAGGCAGGGGCCGTACGTCAGGCTCGCTCGTGTGGATCAGAGCAAGGAATATACTCGCGATCCAAGCCCGGGTAGGGACGGCCCTGCGTTTATATATGACTTAATAACAACGTGGAAAAGGTACGGAAATGTAAAGCCTACGTAGTAGTGTATACACGTACGGGCATGCATCTTAAAATCTTTCTGTATTTTTTGGTTGAATGTACATATGTACATATGTATATATGTCGGATGTGGGTTGTCCGATGTAACTGCAGGGTGGCGCGGCAGCATACTCACCCGCAAGTGACTGGTGGTCTCTGGGTGTGCTCATGTACGAACTGTTGTACGGCAAAGCTCCGTGGAGCGGCCCTTCCCTGGATGCAATTTTGCAGCGCATGACTCTCCACCCTCCTGCTTTTCCCCCGCCGGTGGTGGTTACAGCCGGGGGCTCGGGGGCCCCACAGGTACACGCGTGCGTGTGTTTTATGTGTGTTTTATGTGCGTGTCATGGGAGCACACGAGCAACCTCTCCTTATACTTCTATTTAACTTTGAAGTGGATCAGTGCAAGACAAGAAAAGAAGTGTCAGTGTCTGAAATGATTTGCTGATGATGTCTGTGTGCGTGCATGGTACCGTTGCTGTGGCACTTGGCTGCTACTTGGCTGCTATTCCCGTTGCTTCCTTTGTCACCGCTAAGTAGAATCCTGTTTCCCTCGCGAGACTGGTGCCGCAGGTGAGCTCCACTACTCAGCAGCTCATTCGGGCCCTGCTCCGCCACCGACCTGAAATGCGGCTCGGCAGCAAGAGGGGCGTGGGGGAGGTGCTGGCGCATCCGGCATTCGCGGCTGTAGGGCTCTCTCCGGCCGCGCGGACGACGTAACAGTAAATAAATATGCTTGTATAGGGATGACATTTTACGGATATCGGGAGATCGTACGATTTTTAACCTGAGCTGAACTGAGGTCACCCGCGGGAAACGCTTCCCTGGTGTTGTCTGGAATGGCCTCAAAGAAATAAAACCGCCATGGCCTCCGGCATGCAGTACATGGGAGCCTCATTCTCGTTAAATTCGTCCAACATTCCAAATTGTTAACGACGGTGTGCCGTTGTAGCTATCAAACTGGAAGCACGGGCTCGATAAATCCCGCAAAGGCCGTGCTGCAGCTATCTGCTGTCGCCGCGAATTGTGGGCCCATCAAATTGATGCTCTTGCTGCTGCTGCTGCTGCTGCTGCCCGCATCAGCGGCGCTGTGAGCTGTTGCAGCGCACAGGGGGGATCCTCCCCTATCGCCCGCTTCGTGAAGTCCCCCCCCCTGCGTGTTCCTTATCCCCCGCTCAGCCTCCCGGCGGTGCTTGACTGCTAATGACAGGGGCGAGTGCCCTGCATCCCCGCTGAGCCTTCGTTATCACACCACACCGGTACCGGGCCCTCCTCATGTCCGAAAACAAGGGGTTTTCCCGTAGCAGCTAGACCGGATGGTGATCTGCCTTTTTTGTGTCCAGTCTCGGTGTCAGTGAACAGCAGCGAAGCATCTAGACAACTTTGACGTAATGATTAATAAAACACACGCACCACATTGGGAGGTAAAGCATCACCTCCAAGTCAGGACAGCATTACCTTGTATGTCATACAAGATGGTACGGCGGGCGTTTGGTACCGCGGTGGGCGTTTGGTACCGCGGGCGCATGTGCGACATGGCATTAGTGCGAATCATTCGCTTGCTGCGCAGTGTGCTTTGGGAGGTTGATGTTATGTGGGGCACCGCAGCTGCCCCTGGGCTTGACCCGAACTTTCTATTTGGTAGATGCTAGCGGGTACGCTTCGATACCTAAGAACTCCTGAAAAGTCCTAGCTTATCCTTCCGAGCGGCTATCCTTCTTAACATTACAAGAACATTGCATGACTACCCTCGCGCTGTACCAGCTGCGCCATCAATGAGACACCACGACACGGCCCATCGGCAGGCCCGTTGCCCCACGAAGAAAGCCAGGCTAGCCGGCTCTCTTTACTTGGCAACCTTAGGCATGAAGTCCAGCTGCCAGAGTCATCTGAATCGACCCCATGTAAAGAGTCTAGCAGCCGCAGCAGGGACCAGAAAGGCACGCAAGCTGACGCACATGATTCGGTGATGTGGAGGATTTGCAATGTTGCTTACGTGCTTTATCCGTAATCGGCTCTGTAGCTATTGGTGCTTTGCCTGACATGCCACGCTTGCCAAACCGCCACCGTTGGTAGCAGTTAAGCAACCTTCGCACTTTTATCCAAAGCACATACTATACTCGTTAACTTCATTGCACAATATGCCATACGCTTTCCTTATGGGACGAGCCTCAACGTTCGCACGGAGAATGACTCCAGTTTGGAATGGACAGGACCCACGTTCCGTGCTGACCAAGTAGTCATCCAAAGGCAACACCTAGCGCTATGGGCTATGTCTCGAACATCAAACCGTGGTCCACGAGCAGATATAGCTTTGCTTCGCAAGCTAAAAGCGGACCCAAACTTTTCACCCGCGTCACTCCTGAATACTGGACCAAACATCTTAGAAAAGGCCAACAAGCTAAAGGGTTTTATTGAAAATCAACGCGGCAAGCTAGGAGCCTCAGCAGCGAAAACTGAATGGCTACTTCAATACCAACAACTTCAGGTAACTCACGACACTGGTTTCAGCTGCCGGTTCTGATCCCTTACAGTAATACCTTATTGTTATGTTTCGCGGGCGCTTTCAAAAGTTACGAAACCTGGAGACATGTCCGAAAGATTCCATAGGCGCCTGCTCATAACTGCAGAGCGACCAGGACGATGCGGAACGGGAGCTCACGTCATGTCTGCAGCAGCTCTCTGATCAAAATGGTGCAGAACAGCTGCGTGAGGTGGCCGAGGTCGGGCTCGCGACCCTGTACGACCAGGCAGAATCATGCCGTACAGAGCGCCAGCGCCTGCGCTCGCAGGTCAAGGGCCTTTCTGCCGTGCACGCCAGCTTAAAGGCGTATGGTACCCCTTTGGAGTTCTCCAGGGAGGCAGCCGCGCTCAAGGTAGGTGCTGTTCAACGACGACATGATCAGTACAACCCTTGAGGCACCTCCCGAAGGCCAACCCCTATCCAGCATACGTTGGAAATTTTGAGGGGAAATCTTGAGCTACGCGTTTGATGTTTTCCAATCGATGTGTCCGGCACACGTGCACATACGCACATATGCGTGTACATCCTCTTCGTATATGTTGTACCTGCTGTATGGCTTGCACTCGGATTTCTTCACGTGCAGTGTGCCCTTGGTGCACGTGTACCTGAGAGTGTGTGTATGTGTTTTACTTGTACGGCAGAGGGAGATGTCCGCCACGACGCGGGAGCTGGATGCCGAGCTGGTCCACCTGGCAGAGTAAGGCCCCAGATGCTGCTACTGCTGCTGCTATTGCTACTGCTACTGCTACTGCTGCTGTCGCTGCTGATGTTGATGATGTTGATGTTGACGTTGACGATGTTGATGTTGATGATAAAGATGATGATGTTGATGATGATTATCATGGTGATAATAGTTGTGTTGGTTGTGTCAGTACGGCGTTCTGCCCGGCCACATAGTGGGTTGGTGGTGATGATGTTGATCATGTTGATGATGATGATCATGACGATGGTGATGTTAATGTTAATGCTGATGTTGATGTTGATGATGCTGGCGCCGCACCTCCTGAAACCGCATGTTGCTGCCCACCACGACACCCGCCCCCTCTCCCCCCCACCCCCCCACCCTGACACTACAGGCAGGCGGCGGCTCTCAGCTCCGAGCTGAAGGAGGAAGGCCTGGGCCCTCTAGGGCCCCAGATGCGGAGGGAGGGTGGCGCTGAGGGAGGCGGCTCGGCGGGTGGAGCCGGACTGGGGCCGCCGGCGGGCGGGGAGACGTTGTACCCCGGGGGGGAGGTGGCGGGTGGGGCTGTGGGCGAGTCGGCGGCGGCGGGGGCGCTACCTACTGGCGGCTACAGCAGCAGCTACGGGCACAACTACAGCCGTTGGGAGGAGGATTCGCAGGAGCTGGAGAAGATGATGTCCACGTGGGTTGGGGGGGTTGGGGGGTTGCATGAGCGTGAGGGGCGTGGTGGTGGGGGGGGGGAAATGATGGCAGGGGGGAATGTGTTTTGGAGGGGGGGGAGGGCGGGACGGGAAGTGCGTGTGTGTCGACAACACATGGCGGGCTGTGTCAGCTTCAAGTGTCGAAACAGCTGGGAGGGTAATCGTTAGCGAGTGCATTTTCTGCATAACAGGAACAAACAGACAAAGTCCCTTTAGGTCCATGTGTGTTCTTTTGTGTATAAGTGTTTCCTTCTGATATTCGTACGCAATACGGGCCAATTGTCGTACGCAGGTATCCCCTGGCGGCTTCGGACATTAAGGACCGCATTCGGGAGGTCTTTGAGGCGCTGCGGGTGGGTTGGGATGATGGGGGAAAGGAGTTGCGGGGGAGGGGGAGGGGGTGACACGTGCGGGTTTGTGACGTGTCTGTGTGTATGTACGTACGACATGCGTATGTGCTTGCGCAGGTTTCCCAAGTGGCACGCATGTCCCCTTTGTTTCCCGTCCCCGGTCACGAACTCCCAACCGCTGACCTGGAACATCAACCACCAACCGACAACTTTAAACTGTTAACCCACACAGGACAAGTACCTGGAGCGGCTGGAGACGTGGCGGGTGGAAGCTGAACAGACGGCTCGCGATCTGACTGTCGCTATCTCCTCCTCCGCTACTCAGCAACCTCCGGTACGACGGCCTTCGAACAGCACGATAGCCGCCAAAGCGGGGCCGGCCACCACCGCCACCAGCCGTACAACTGCTGCCGCTGGCCGTACGGCTGCAGCCGCCACGAGGGTCGGTATGCCGGGCCGAGGCAGGGCGGGGGAGTGCGGGGGAAGGGGCCATCGGGCCCCCGAGACCACTGCTGGTGGCGGGGCGACGAGAGGACCGCCAGTGCCTTGCCGCGGGGGCTCACGCATTCCGAAGCCGACGGCAGTAGCAGCAGCAGCAGCAGCAGCAGGAAGTGGCGAGGCGGCGACCGCGGCTGTGGCGGGCAGTGGCAGTGATGGGGTTTCAGCTAGCGGCGAGGTGGACGATAAGGAGGAGGGCGAGGAGGCTGGCACCGCCGCCGCTGCGGCCGAGGGCGGGGTATCGGTCAGCGGCGGCGGCGGCGGCGGTGGTGTTGGTAGCGGAGTAGCGGAGGGGACCGGCGGGGAGGCTGGTGCGGGTGACGGCGGCGGTGGTGGGGCGGCCGGTGACGGTGGCGGCTTCACACGGGTGTTCGCCGGGTACAGCGGCTGGTCGGCGGAGGAGCACTCGGCGTTTGTACGGCATCGCGACCGGCTGATGAAGGAGTGCGGTCAGGGACCCAAGTGAGTACGACAGACTGTGTACCAGTACGACATATTTGCATAGCTTCTCCACAAGTCTAAATTGCGCTTAAGATGCGCTTAAATGCGCGTAGGAACCCCAAACCAGGATTATAGCTTGTTCTATGGCATAGCCAGCGTTGGGCAAAAGCACACCTGCCCCAACCACCACCCTTGAAAACCCGTTATTGTAGCCCGACTCATCTCTCCCGGATGGCACCACGGTGTTTTACAGGTCCCTGAGCCGGGAGGTTCTCATGGCCCGCATTGCCAAGATGCTGCCCGGGTGCCGTACGGTTCCGGAGCTTCTTGCCCACGACGACTGGACTACCGCCACTCGTCTGGTGGCTCGTAAGCGACGTGACCTTGCTGAGGCCTGGGATCGGGAGCGGCGGCAGTTCCTGGAGGACAGCGCCAGCTTCCTGAAGGTGCAAGTGTGCAAGTGTGTTTGTTGCGCCTGCCTGCCTGTCTGTCTCTCTGCCTACCTGCCTGTCTGTTTGTCTGTCTGTCTGTCTGTCTGTCTGCCTGCCTGTCTATCTGCCTGCCTGTCTGTCTGTCTGTCTATAGGTCCTTCCGTCTGCCTGTCTGTCTGTATGTTTGTCCGACCAAGATTCCATTGCCAATGTGCATGTATGTATGTCCGTCCGTCCGCCTAGACGCCGATTTGGCTGTCTGTCTGTAGGTCTGTCTGTAGGTCTGTCTGTAGGTCTGTAGTTCACCCTTCCTGGAGGGCTGTAACGGCTCATCTTCGCTCTTTTAAGACCTGCCGTCGTACGGCACCACCACCTCCTCTCACCTCACGCTCCACCCCGTGCTTGTACAGGAGAGTGAGATGCTGTTCCTGGTGCAAGCGGAGGAGGCAGCTGACAGGTTCGTCTTTACCCGTCAGCAATTTCTTGCTCTGGCACCTGCTACTGCTACTGCTACTGCTGCTCCTGCCAACTGCTACTGCTGCGGTTCTGTCATTGCTGCTGCTAGGGTAGCTGTAGTAGGGCCGGGCGGGTAACTGTCTTGCATTGTTTTGTGTAATGGCATGGATCCTGGAGTTGAGCTTGAGAGCTGCCGTTACGAGTTGCCTGTTCTGGATCTGTTTCAGCATGCTCGCGTTGTGTGGCCGCGGGACCTGCAGGCTGGTGGCCGAGCTGCAACGAGTACGGGCGCGGGACGAGCTGGAGGTACGACATGCTAAGCTGGGCTGTCGCCATGTTTCCTGGCAGATTTGGTTGCGCGGGTGGTTGAGAGGGTGGTTAGGGGGCCCTGTCGTACTGAGAAGGCTGGGGACCTCCCCGTGTGTGTATTGGGTCCAGGTGAGCCGTACGGCAGGGTCCCCTAGGGTGTTGGGGAGTGCGGGTAGGGAAATCGGCTTCCGAAATCACTGTAACTGTAACTGTAACTGAAAGCAACGAACTACCTGAATTCCCTACAGGAATTGCGAGCTGAGAAGGTCCGTGAGGAGGAGGTGGCGGCGGCGGAGCGGGCCGTGCGGGAGGCAGCGGAGGCGGAAGCGAGGTTGGCGGCGGAGGCTCGGATGCGGCGAGAGCGGGCCCTCCAGAAGGACATGGTCGCAGCGTACAGGTACAGAATGTAACATGTGTACGGCAGTGCGTACGGCATGTACCATTTTCCCCGATGAGGAAGTAACAATAAGATGTAGGGTGTTTTTTAATCTTGACGGTAGGCTTAATTTCTTTTCGCTGCTTCGCCGTTTGTCCGCATTTTGGGCTTTGGGGTCGTTCTGCCCGTTCGAAAACGGGCTGTTAAAACCTGCTGTTAAAACCCCGCACCCCCGCACCCCCGCGACTTCCCCCCTCCTCTCGCCGACCAGGGCGGAGCTCGAGCTTCAGCAGGCGGAGCAGCAGGCAGCTGCTGTCGAGGCGGAGCGCCAGGCAGCCCTATTGGCCGAACAGCAGGCGGTGTACAACAAGGAGCGAGTTGAAGTACGACAGGCCGAGTACCTCTCACGACAGGAGCAGGCCAAGGTACACCACAACTTTGTGTCGTACATAGGTGTATACACACACGCACGCATACGTTAACCCCTCCCACTCCGCATCACGACCGTTATCGTCCCACATGGTCTTTAAGAGTCCTACGGCCCTTCCCTTCCTTTTCAGGAACGTCAAGCGGTTGCGGAGGCTGAGGCCCTCGCCCGGGAGGTTCGGCTCGCTCGTCTGCGTGCGCTGGTAGCGCCCGAGGTCGAATCCGATCCGGAGCGACTTTTAGCTCCCACCATCGCCAGCTCCGCAGTGGATCCTGATCGTGACGCGGAGGGCGCCTTCCACCCGGTGAACGGATACACGACGGAGCAGGTGGTGAAGGACCAGCGCTTCAAGGTGCGGTCGGTGACATGAGACGACCTGCTTTGCGTGTGAGGGCCGTGAAATGAATGGGTTGTGTGTGTGCGTGCGTATTCATGTTTATGTGTGCCGTGCGCCATGTGCCATGCGAAAGTGGGGGTGGGCGTGGGCGTTGGCGGATAGGTACAAAGAATGATTAGGTATTAGGTAGAATATGTCAGTATGGAGGGAGAGCGAGTGAGCGGAGAAGTCCAGGAGGGGGCTATATGTCCCCCACTGTAGTCGCCAATCACAGCCACACTCTGGCACTGCTGTATAACGACTTCTAAACCGCCACACAAGTCTTCTGAAGACCTGCGTGGCCGCTCCTGCCGCCACCCACCTTCGCCTCATACCACCCCCACTTATGGCCCCTCCCTCCCTCTTGCCCTGGCAGCAGCTTCACTCGTTCGTGGTTCGTCTTTCCCCCTTCCCCCTCCCGTCCGCAACCGCCCTCAGGTGTTTGAGGCTCTCGCTGTGTTGGGGCTCCATGAAACGACGTATGGACGACAGTCCATTGCAGCTGCTCGCCCAGCTAAGTCCACCCGGCCTGACAACTTCACTTCGGAGCAGCGGGAAGCAGCCTTAAGGATGGGGAGGTAGTGGTTAGGCAGCTGCAGCAGCAGCAGGAGGAGGAGGAAGAGGAAGAGAGGGTGTAATTGAGGATGTGAGGGCTGGGCGGAGGAGGGAAAGAGGGGGAGAGGTCTGCGGTGCTGCGGAGTCGGGCTGTTTCAAGAGCCTTGGGCCTTGGGCTTGATGGCCTTTATGCATTTAAAGATATGTAGGGTTGTTGATGGAGCTGCACATGCATGCCGACGGAGGAGAGGGTTCTGTGATTGAGGAGGGGGAACGTAGGGGGGCGGATGGGAGAGGAGGAGTAGTCGCACGACACATTTCAGGATGTTGCGCTCACCCGGACTTTGGGGTAAGAAAGCCCGTGTGTGCATCTGTGTGAAGGTTACAATTATCTGACCGGGCCTGGCACTAGCTAGGGGCTGCTGCCCAGTCCCAACGGCTTGTGCCCGTGCTCTGCTTCCACCGACTCTTGTTATCAGACAGATAGGCAAACAGACAGACAGACAGGTGCTTGCCGCACACGCCGGGGAGGAGGGTAGGGGTGGGAAAGACGAACCACACACGATTGAAGCTGCTGCCAGGGCAAGAGAGTATCAAACGTAGGGTAGGGGGAGGGGGAGGGAACACGCGCTTCGGGGCAGCTGCAGCACCCTTCCTCACGCGGTGGCGGCACGTGAACCCCTGATGCCGTCTTCTCCTCTCCAGGGCTCTTCATATGCCCAGCAGATTAGAGCGTGATCGTCATGATCGGTCTTTGTCTAATACACGCTACCTGTGGTCTCGGATGTCCGGCAGCTGCGAGCGTAGCATGTGCGCATGTGACTGTCGTGTGTGTGTGTGCGTGTGTGTGCTATGTACGGAGAGCATTGCGCAAAGATGAGCAGATTGACCGCGCGCCTCAAGACGCATGAGTGATCCGAGGAAGCGACGTTACCTCTTTGGGTTATGGCTGTACCGTTTGGCTGTTTGGGGGCGCCGTTCACTAGCCCCAGGGTTTCGTGGTTAAGCGCTAGATGTGCCTGGGTGAATAGTGATCTGAAGCACCACGCACACCACCCCTTCGGTGGCCTTGGCTTCGGTCGTCATGGCCCCCGCTGTAATTGCAGTATCACCACTAGGGGATCTGTATCCCCTATCTACCTATCTATCTGGCGGACTTGCGTCCGGCTGCTGGCTTCATGACCATGCCGTGCCCGGTGTACCCGGTGTCTACGGCTGCCGACTCTGTTGATTACATAGGTGCTTAGGAATGTAAATATGGGTGCATTGCAGTTTGCGCTAGTTGAGTACGTTAGCACGAGTCTTAACGTTACAGTGGATGGAAGTTGCGATGATCACCGAAGAGGGATCTAATTTCTGGAGTACATACGGCAGGGGCTTGGGTGTAGGTTATTAGGGGCCTTTGGGGCAGGTCAGGGCCCGTCCTGAGTTTGATTGTAGGTCGTTGATATGGCAGTATCCTGTGTCGAAATAGCTAACCTGGTTTGAAGCTACGTTATCCTTCATCCTTTCATCATTGGTACATTGTCCTGCTGTGTGCTGCATCACCTCAACTACTGCTGCACAACATGTGTTGAAGGTGGGCAGTTGGAGGTCAACACCGTTCATGAGGATGATGCCGTCACTGATCAAGGACTGGAGTGCAGGAACGGAAGGTGTGGAACCGACACAGGGTTGGATGGACAACACTCTGGTCCAGTTGCCTGAATGTAGCCGCCGGTGCCAGCATTCAGTGCCTGTTTCTACACCCAAAAACAATTTATGCAAGTGGCGTTGCCAGAGGACGAGGATGACTATGAGAGTGAGGATAGCAGCCCAGAATGCACCACACACCTTTTTTTGACGAAGAAGTGGAAACGTATTTTCTCGCATACATCCTCACATACGCTTTCACTCCCACGCATACTTTTACAATCTTCACACAAACATTCACCCTTGTATACATTTACACGCTCTCATATATATACATACATACATGAATACTGCAAGTGTGTTGTATGTGTGTATGAGAGAGAAAGCAT